TATTGGTAGAAACTGAGCAAACTGCAAAGCCTTCAGGGTCTTGGTTTGCTCAAGTAAAGAGATTAAAACAGAACAGTAGACACTCGTACAAACATGAAGCCATGTGTCTCAGACAACATCACACCCCTTTCTCGTACCAGTTCCTGGGAACCCTGAGCAAGGGAAACTTGTGCCTCAGTTTTCTTACCTCTTACCACTGAGATTTAAGGAGCAGACTGGCCTACTTTAACAGTAAAATCTGAGGAATTAGATAAAACTTTTATCACAGGGCATGGCCCTTAGCTCTTCCCATACCTGTCAGTCAAAGGAGTGTGTGGACCTTTTGTTAACAGTTTTAGAGAAACGAGAGTTCATAGCCCAAGGTTTCCTTGGAAGACACACTCCCATTCTTCAGCAGTCCACCTGCAGCTGGCACCACTCTACTTGGTAGGCATTTAAAGTTCTACTGGGAACAGAAAACAGGCTCCAAATTTTTCTACCCTTCTCTTAAATTAATCCTGCAATTCTTTCTCCTCGGTTGATGACTGAGAAAAGTCAGCAGACACCATGTTTCAGAATGACCCCTTGGGGCCAGGGCTGTAGCTCGGTGGGTGGAGTGCTTACCCAGCATGCATAGAGCCCTGAGTTCCATCTCCAGGACTGTAAAGTTCGGTGTGATGTCATACGCCTACAGTCCCAGCACTTGGGAGGAAGAGCCAGGAGAGATCAGAAGTAGAGCCCTAATGTCTAACTGTCTAACTGTACCCACGACGGAGCCTCCCCTCAGGAAGTACAAGGCCCTGGGTTCCAACTCTAGTTACACAGCAAGTTCTAGGCTGGTTTAGGCTACATGAGACCCTGAAAAAGGTCCGCTGGTACGGGAGAATTGTCTGTATTCTGTCAGTCATGTTTTAAATAAACGCTGATTGGCCAGGCAGGAGGTGTAGGTGGGAAAACCAGACAGGAAGTGGAAATGACGTAAGGAGAGCAGGCGAATTCTGGGGAGGAGGAAGTTGATTCCTCCCACTCCTGCCCAGACTACTGAAGCAGCAGGATGTGAGCTGCCCCACTGAAAACGGTACTGAGCCACATGGCTAACATAGATCAGAAAAATGGGTTAATCAAGATGTGAGAGTTAGCCAGTAAGAAGCCTGACCTAATGGACCAATCAGCTTTATAACTTATAGAGATCTCAGTGTGATTTTTTTCTCTGGGACTAAACAGCTAGGGGGCTGGGCAGGACAGAAAAACCCACAAACAAGCCCGTCCTTTTCATGTTACACTCCACACAAAATCCAATCAACCGAGTAAGCTAACAATGACAAACCAATCCTTGATCTGAAGCTCTTTGCTAAAGGGTAAACACACACACACACACACACACACACACACACACACACACACACACAAAACATATTCTAGTTGGAGCGGAAGTGGGATTTACACACGCTGTGGTGTAAATGAGTTTTAAACTCCCCAAATTCCTCTAACAAAGATAGAAAGGGCTTCCCTTCTCCCCAAGTCCCACTTTCAAATCAAAAGGAAGAAGAGGCAGGAAACATGAAGGTGTACTTAAATCCTGCTCATAGCCAAGCTTGGAAGTCAGCAGCCGCACTGGGAATTACCCTGGAAACCAATCAAATCCTGTCTGACTCAAGCCATTGTCAGCCTTGCCTACTCAGTTAGTTAGCGTCTTCAGTGAAGGCATTAAAGGCAGCTCATCCTCTGTGGAGCACCGCACTAACAGGCACACAGGGTGGGAAGGGAGAGAAAGCGCTTCTCTGAAACCCGGCTAACAAAGGGTCTGCCCACCCACTGCTATGCGAACTGCATATCAAGCTCCTGAACTTACTTTTTAAAAAATTACAAAATGAGGACACTTAAACCTTGTTCAAGGGAAAGATAGATGAGCCACTCCAAAAAAAAAAAAAAATTAAGTATAGTTTCAAGAGACTGAAAAAAGGAACATAAAAAACTGTAACCTTATCACCCAGTTTGAACAGTTACAGCCTTCGAAAGCATCTTCCCATTAAAGTCATGACAGCCATCCTCCCAAGTGCTTTCCAAAGCCGCTAAAAGAAGCATTACTCTACCTCTCCTCCCTAAGCGAGCCACGGCAAGCATCTGCCACAAAGACACTCTGCCTAGGACAACAGAGGCATGGCACGCATTCTTAGGGTTTCTGCCCGGCTCTTGTCTCTGGCTTGGAAAAAAATAAGTACAGCCTTGTCTCAATCACAACATATCTTAAAAGTAACCTCGGTCCACTCTTCCTTCTGACCTGCCCCTCACGTCTGAGGATTCCACCCCCGCGTCATCCTGTGATATCTGCTGCCTGCCTTCTCTGTGACAAGCACTGGTCCAGACACCTGTGTCTCTAACTCGGCCGGCCTATACGATGACTGAGAAGATATTTAAATGGGCCACCGAAGCCGCTCTGGCTTACTCCTTGTATTTAGACCTATGTCATTTTGTCTTCTGTTCATTGCCACTTTTACTAGGTTGGGTGACCACACATTATATCTATATATTTATATATTATATCTTTATTATATATACAATTTATATCTACATATCTATATATTTATATTTATATATAATTTATATATTTATATACCTATTTTCCTCTGGGTACCCGAGTCTGTTGTCTGAAGTCAGTCTGTCCCTCGCTTTCCTTAATACATCCTTCTGAAAACACTTCCACACTGAGCAGTTCCCAGGAATATACATGAGTAGCTTCTGTCTTCCCACAATCCATCTAAGTTGCTGTCTGGCTTCCCACGGCTCCTTCAGTGCGAGCTCACTGTCGCCATCATCTCCCGTGTAGATAGTTCCCACCTTATCACTTCAGATGGACCCTACTCTCCAGGGCTAACAGTTGCATGTACCCTTCATCCTGCTAGCTGTAGTCCCGGATTCTACCATCCTTCTATCTCAGCCCCTGCATGTGTTTCCAAACCACACTCACCCTTATCTTAGTCTTGATTTTTAACCCCAAGTGCTCATTTTCCTGACTGGACTCAAGTGGCTCAGAAGAGGTGAAAATAAGAACACTCCAGGAATGAAAAACTCATAGCTGCAACTCAAGTATCACGAGCCCTTCTGACTCTCTACCCGCTTTAGAGCTGGGGCAAATCTTTTGGGCTCTCTGGGCTACACAAGTCTCCTGTTACTCCGTGACACACAGCATCCTGAGGCACTGTGAAGGCAGCCGCAGCACTGAAACAAGCAGGTGTGTGGCTTTTAAACACTAATGGGCAGAAGCAGGGGATGAGTGGCTGCTGGCTCCCCGGTCAGGGTTTACGTATTTCATCCAAGAGGAGGAAGCGTAGGTTGGGATTGGGACCTGCTTCTTCACCTAGCAAAAGACAAAAACAAACACACAAACAAAACCAGAAGACACCCAAAGGTCCCTCAGACCAGTCTCTATGTTCCTTGGGTAGTTCAACTTGTTCCTTCATGACACTAAGTGTCCCAGACCCCCAGATTAGATGTCATCACCATGGCAATCTGGGCCATGGTCACCAGTTACAACTGTTGGCCATGAAGAAGAGATATGATTTTTGTTATATCTCTTGGTGACGGTGAGGAAAGCCAACTGTCTCAACCTTCCGCTGTTCTTCAGGCTGACGAGAAGCCCTCTCATTGGGATCTCAGGCAGAAACATACACATCCACTTCAGCATGGGAGTCAGTGCCTTCTCATACCAACCTTGTGTAACTCCATCATCCTGCCGCGTATTCAGGCAGAGTGAATGGATCTTAGCAAACATTAGTCAACAGGTCCGCTGTAGATCAAGGTCTTGGTGCTGGTATAGGTGTGTTTGGGGCATAAGGCAACTATGTCAGGAGCTCTTATTTCACCCTGACTACGATAAAACATATCCAAGCTGTCTGTAGGCTTTTCAAGTGTGGGTTCAATCATTCGCAGATGGAAAACATATTTTCTAAAGTATCCATACTGAAAATGCCCAGATATTTTTCTTGTCATTATTTCCTAAATGATTTAACAACTGTGTGTGTAGCATTTACACTCTGCTGACTATCTTAAGTAGGCTACAAGGGTTTGAAATATAAAGGGAAGGTATACACAGACTAAAAAAATAATAAAAAGCAAACACTGTGCCATTTTATTTCCTTTTTATAATTTGTTTAACTTTATTTTATGTGTGTTGGTGTGAAGGTGTCAGACCCCTAGAACTGGAGTTACAGATGGTTGTGGTGCTGAGAATTGAACCAAGGTCCTCTGGAAGGGCAGTCAGTCCTCTTAACCAATGATTCATCTCTCCAGCCCCCAACTGTGCCATTTTCTTTACGGGACTTGAACATCCTAAGATTTGGATATGGGCATTGGATTCTGGAGCTAATTAACCTCTATGGATACTGAGGGATACTTCTGAAGAAAACAGGTCCTCTCCCAGGCTGATATGGATACTGAGGGACACCCCTGAAGAAAACAGGTCCTCTCCCAGGCTGATATGGATACTGAGGGACACCCCTGAAGAAAACAGGTCCTTTCCCAGGCTTCACTAAGGATTCTTTACAGATAAAGCCCTCTTTTACCCACTTCATCCATGAAAAAAATGAACTCCTGTGATGTGGGATTCCCATCTGTATGCTGTGAGTATGTTTTATAACCATTGGTTAATAAAGAAGCACCATTGCTCATTTAGAAAATCAAGAATTGGAATTCAAACCCAAGCCAGCATAGCTCACTAAGTCACATTCCCTTGAGCCCTTCTATCTCTGCTTGCCCAGCTCTAAGAATAGAAAGCATAATTTATTTTAAAAAGCCTCCAAATGACTGTGACATGTGAATCAAGGAATTAAGTCAGGTTCATGGTATCTGGTGTCACCGTGGAGGGACTCATCAGAAAGGCAAAGTAACACAAACGACTGAGCATTGGTCCTATGTGGCTGTGGGCTCTTTGTCCTTCACCGGGAGCCCAGGTCCCTGGCTGCCTTTGTACTGGTGGTTTTACATGGTGCAGCAGTGCTTAGGAGGCGTGAGGTGCGTCTTACCAGCCTGTCATATTAAAGTCCCTGTACAGCATCTTCTTCCCGAGCTCCTTCCTCTGCACTCTCCTGGGGAACTCCAAATGTGTGAACTCATTTCCCAGCAAGTGAGGCTGCATGAATGCCTAATAGCAAAAAGAAAAAAAAAAAGAAAGAAAAGAAAGAAAGACAAAAAAAAAAAGCCACACACAGATTTTAGAGAACAAAATAAAACTTGAGTATGTTTTGTCAATTGAGACAAGCCTTAGTTCAGAAACAGGAAAACTGTCTCCTATTCTAAGGGAAGTAAATACACTTCAGAATTTAAACACTACCAGAGATGGGTAAATAAAAACCCTGCCTGTAACATCCAAGGGCTGTCACTGTTGGACTTGATAAATTAATTGTAATAAGAGGCATGCATTTGATAAGTTAATTGTAATCAAAGGCTTGCATAACTAATGGCTTTGGGGTGAGTGTGGGCTTCTTCAAAGTTGACTTTGTAGTTCAAATTCAAGACGGTTTCACTTTCTGGAAAGCGTGTTGGCTACACCGAAGGCCAGCAAGTCACCCTGGCCCCTCCCTCTCTTACCCTTCTCTGCTCTCACTCGACAGTGGTTCCCATGGGTTTGCCTTTGAGAACCACATGTGGGTCTCTAGAACACAGAAGTGCTAGATCCTTCACAGCGGGACCAGGACACACGACAGGAGCCTTCTGCCGGACTCACCCCTCCTCCAGTCTGCTTTGTAGTCTTTTGCTAGATTATTCCAGAACAGATGGCTTCTCTCATTCTCCGTAAACTCTGTTCACATAACAAAAGCCTCCAAACAAGCAGCCGCATCCAGGGTTGCTTTGAAACAACAGTCTCATTGTTACCCCCACAATCCAGATCTAAGAGATGAACTGGTCACGGTTTGCCTTCCCTGCCACAAACCTGCATACCTGTGCTAGGACCTCCCCACATCATGCCCCATTCCTGCATGGGAGTGCTGTGCTGGAAGGGATTGCCTCTCCTTACAGCAGGGATGAGTGGGTAGCATAACCATGGCCAGTCACTGTAGGAAGGCAAGGGGTCCCCTTCGTAGAACAGATGGCCTTGCCTCAGTTAGCTGGTACAAGCGTTACCAGGAACGCTTAGGGCAGGAAGCGTTTGGGGAGGAGGAGGAGGCACAACTGGACTATTTCCAGATATATGTGAAATCTTTGGGACAGGAGTCAAGGTTACATAAAATTCATTTACATTTCAGAAAACACCTATACATAGTCGGAAGACATTTTATACAGTGTTTTCAGTGTGTGTTTTGACTACAACCCGTCACAGGAGGTCAAGTGTGGAATTTTCCACGTAAGACATTATGCCAGCACAATGTTTTTAGGTTTGGGAGCATTTCGGACTTTAGGCTTTGGGATTGGGGATGCTTAACCTACAACAGGTATTTCCCACAGCCTCATTCCCGAGGCGGTAGATCTCTACTGATGCTCATGAAGGTTTGGCGGTACCAGACAGCGCTAGGCATTGGAAGCTCAGGCTATCAGGACCGAGGAAAGCGAGCTGAACTGTTACCAGGCTGGAGCACTCTGATGCAGCAGCTATGAGCAGTGCACGCAGGACGGCAAGTGACAGGCGGGATGACTGAGGGGGAAGAGACTTTGTCTTCCTGTCTGTCCAGCAGGACTCCAACTGGCTCCAGATCTGATGGGAGCCCTGACCACTCTGAGGGACTCTGATAGGCAACAAGGAAGCTTCAATCCCAGGCTTCCTGGAGACAAGCTCCCCTGAGGAAGAAAACTAACATGTAACAGAGCCAGTTGGTGTTAGGGGGGCAGCAAGCTCTGCATTCATTAATTTTGTGGTTTTAATGAGTTATTTGACGTCTTGAGCCTTGGTTTCATTGTTTTTAAAGTGGCATTATTACTGATATTTTTCATAATTAGATATCTTCAATGTTCTCATCATGGTTGTCATTGCTCATGCAAAACAGCTAGGGCTACGGTAGAATACTTGTTCATGGGGATAAATAACTGAGTTCAAGGTCTTAAGCCCACGTAAAGCCGGCACGGTAACATGCATTTACAATGTTAGTTCTCCCATGGCGAATCCTTGCAAGCTGCAGCCCAGCCAGATAGATACCCTGGTGAACAATAGACCCTGCCTCAAACAAGGTAGAAGGTGAGAAATGACACCTGAAATTGTCCTCTGACCCCCATACAGTCAACTACTGCATACCCTGGCCCATATTCACTCACACACACACACACACACACGTTCTCTCTCTCTCTCTCTCTCTCTCTCTCTTTCTCACGCACACATACACACACATACATGCACACACACACATGGAGAGCTAGAGAGAGAGTTCTATATCTATTTAATGATTATTATGCTCAGTGCTTTGTGAGCTCTCTCATCACATCCTTCCAAAAAGCTTAGGGCAGGAGGAAACATTGCCTCGACTTAATTTGTGGCCCCAGAGCAAAGTGAATATAGAGAACTTCAAGACGGCAGCGGTGCATAAAACTAAACACAAGGCCCCGTGTGACTGCACCAGTGAGTATGTAGAGCAGTCATACCCAAAGGGCAGCTAGGATTTTCTCATTAGCATGGACCCACTGTTAGAAACCAAAGAATGGAGCTAGGTGCAGTGGTGCACACCTGCCCTCTGCCCCTCACTGCTTGTGGTAGGTGGGAGAACTGGCCCTGAGGTCCTAAGAGCAGGGGGGCTGTTCCTGCCCCTCATCAGCTTCAGCAGTTGGGAGAATGGCCTCCAGCAGAGCTGGCCCCGAAGGTCTATGTGTGTGAGAGCTGACCCTGAAGGCCGAAAAGCAAGAGAACTGGACCCATCCCTCACTCATCTGCAGCTAGAGGTGAACTAGCAGGGGCAATGATGGAGAGCGCACCCTGGTGGTGAGGATGGGGGAGAGTTGGCAGGCTGAACAACTCTGTAATCACCCAGGTCCAGGACCAGGGTTCTAAGTTGGCTCATCCCAACATCCACCCCATCGACGATCTATGAGATCACATGAAGGGACTCTGTCCTGCAGATCCAAAGCTGCAGGATCTCATGACACAGGGCATCAAAAAGATATTCAAGAGCCGTCCCAGTGAGGGCCCAGCATGGTAGTAGAAACCAGAGACCTCAAACCAGACCAACGACGCTTTGCAATGAACACTTGCAAGTAAAGATATATGGACAAAGGGGATTGCTGTGTGACTATGTCACACTACAGATTCCATGACAAAATTTTTTTCCTTTTAAATATTTTTTTTTTTGGGCGGGGGGTTGCAAAAGCAGAGGATGGATACAAAGGGATGGGAAATGAATGGCATTGAGACGCATGATATGAAAGACACAAAGAATAAATAAGATGTTTAACAATAAAAACCAGGTATATACATGCATGTAGAGGCTTATGTATGCACAGACTGCCGCTATGCATGACATATGTATGTTTTTGTAAATGAGTGTGTGCTTGGCCTGTATGTGTCTCCTCAAATTTATATGTCGATAACACTTCTCTCAGTATACGCTTCTGAAGGTATTTAGGACTTTAGTTAGGATGAGGGGAGCTTGTCCTGGAGAGGTCTTGCTTTGTGCACCGTGGATGGAACATGATGGATCCCAGAGGTGCTAGGAATAGGCTCGACTTGTTGCACGAACCCTCGTTCTCTATTATCATCACTTCATTCTCCAAGCACTTACACACATCCAGCCACAAAGGACGCTTTGTCTCTTTGTCTTTAAAGGAACCCATGTCATATGCAATTTATACTCAATAACTCTAGGCTTTTATCTTACCTCTGGGGCTGGGTCATCAGCTCTGAAACCAGCAAAGGATCCGAGAGTAAAAATCTCTCTTCCACAAGGGCGAACACAGAGGTCCAGGTATTTTGTGCCCTAACAGAAGGGCAAGTAGGCCCTCAGATTGTGCTTTAGCCAGGTACCCTGTGCCCATCATTTACCTGTGAAGTTGTACCAGACAGTTTCTTGGGGTAGATGCCTCGGTTAGTCGGCAACTCCTCAGACACTTTACTACATACGGGAGCTGCTACATCTGTCCAAGACACCAGAATCAAGGGAGCCTAACGTCGAGCCACTTCTGACAAGGGAGATCCTCCACGTGAGAGCTGGCCACAGTCTTGACAAGCCACATGCTCTCTTCGGCGATAACGAGAAAGGGCTCTGTTTCATCTAATCCAGCAGGACATTTATTAGATGTGATACCTCTCTTCCACATCTCAGAGAGAAAACTAGGCTGTACAATGCCCTTTTACCTCTGCAGAGTTTCATTTTTTACTCTTTTCGGAAGATTTCCTTTAAGACACGTTTCCATTCTCCATCAGTTTGGATGTGTTTTTATCACATGTGCATGTGGTGCATGTGTGTGGTGCACGCAGGTGAACGCACCTGGGTTTGCTCGTGCAGAGAACAGGCAGCGGGTGCAATGTCTTCACGTCAGTCTCCCTAAACGTCTTGAGACAGGGTCCCTCACTGAACAGAACTTCAGTGGGACTGATGGATAGAGAACTCTGGGGAATCCACCCGCCTCCACCCATCAGTGTTGGGGCTACAAACATGTGTAGTCATGCTTGACTTTTTACATGGGTACTGAGGAGTCGAATTCAGGTCTGAATGCTTGTAGAACAGGAGCTCTTGCTCACTGAGCTGTCTTCCCCACCTGGTCTACACACAGCACGGGGTGCATATGTAAAGTTCAGATACTCTACATTGCGGTATGGTTAAAACCCCGGTATGCCTGCTGTGGCAATGAAGTGTATCGAACAGTCCTAACCTACTGAATACTGCAGCAGAGAACACTATACACTGTGGAGTCACCACTGAAAACCCCAGTGATAAGTTAGGGCTTGCTGCTGATGCTACCCAGTTATGAGAGCGTGATATCACATGTGTCTAGCCTAGAAAAAGATAGAAATTCAAAATGTAGCTGACTGTGGTCCATGCCTGTAATCCTAGCACACAAGACAAGGCAGGGGATCACAATTTCCATGCTACATAGTGGTCTGTATCTTAAAACAAAACAAAACAGAATTTAAAACTTAAAGTTGTGTGGCTCCCAAAATGGGGTCTAGGCCATGTGGGGCCCGGGGCAGCCAGGTCACACAGGGGTCCAGGTCACATAGGTGCC